GCCCTTCCCGCCCGCCGCCCGCCCAGCTGTCTTGGGCTGACCACCTCGGTCGGTCATGCAGAATAAGCAATGACGACTTGCGTGGCTTTGCGAGGCAGCGAGAGGGATTGGAGATTGAGAACTTGTGTTGTCGCAGCCAGTTCTTGTCGGGCTGTAATACCCCTTTTGGGTCAGATTTTGGATAGAGCTGGACTGGTTCGATGATCCTTCGATGATAAGCTTATCGACTGAAGGATCGGGGATCGTTTCTAACGTCTCGATATGGCAACTCGGACTCATTGGCCCAGTTGTAGGATGATCTTTTGCTGTCCAATTTTCCGTCCAATCAGCGCACGTAGGTTGGTTGTCTGTACCTGGTGGGATTTTGACGATGGAGTCTGTCGTCATGCCTGGCCTAAGGTCGAGCTATTCTCGTATCGTCCCGCGCGGGAAGTGCATCTAGAGCGGTCGGCCGCCAAGCAGCGAATGTCTCTTCGTCTGACGGCATGGCGGCGGGCAAGCTGTAAGGCTGCCTTGCTCAACCCGCCTCCCCCCTTTCAACCGATGTACGTTGATGTAATCGACTTGTCTTGTCTTGCATCTCGCCTCTTCATCCGCCGTCTCGCCTACCTCGGTGCCTGTTCGCGTCGCGAAGTGCTTCCTTCCTGCTCGGTCTTTCGCCCAATGCTCTGTGGGATGGTAAGATATGCCCTCGCATGGGCAGGGCGGAGGAGCGGCGCAGGATAGCCAAGCGCGCGGCGTATCTGCATGGTGTCGTCGCTCGGCCGAGGCCGGCATCGTGCAACAGACGCCGCACTACAGGTGCAACCAGCGCCCCAGATTATGCAGCTCGCTTGGGAGTGAGGTTGTATCTCTCTGTCCCATGATTGGGTCATCTTCATTCCATTACGGCTGTATTCTGGCTTGAGTTGTCAGCCTAGAAGCCTCGCGGGACAACTTCAATGTAGTCACCGTCACAATAGTTCGTTGCTATCTTGGTATCACGGTTCGACGTCGTTGCAGTTGCCTGGAGGAACGAGTGGGGACCAGCTCAAACCCCAGGTTTACGTCCCGCTTGTCATCTGTTTCCTCTGCCCAACGTCAAAGCCATCAGAGGAGTCGAGGCGCGAGAGGATGCGAGTGCTTCCTGGGCAGCGCGCTTATGGTCCTGTCGTCCGAGCGACGATGAGGGTTGTCGTGCCACAGGGCTGAACGCACGACTCCCTGCGTGTCTCTTCATCTCTGGGTCTTTCGTTGCTGTCAGGGCGAGGTGCTGAATCACCGAAGACCCGACGACCGACCGATACCGACACGACGGTTCATTTCAGAGACGATCTCATCGTTCGAATTCTTCTCTGTCCCTGTCGGGTGTGAGGTTCTCTCGAGATGCCCGAGAGGGGCCGGGGAGAATTCTGGAACCACGACGTCAAGCAAGGCTTGATGATTGCCTTCCCTTCCTGGCTACCGGCACTTGGGGGTAATCGAACGAATTTCTTCGGTCCTGCAAGACGACAAAATGAATTCTAAAGACTATAGAAAGTTGCTCTTGGCCTTGTAGATCAAGGGAGGTTTCTGGGTTCGGTCGAGAGTTGATTCGGACTGTCCGTGGTAGTCCCCCGGACGACGGAGTTGGCATCTTCGGACCCCCAACTAAGGGTCGTTGCGCTTGTGGCCACACCCCCTTACCGGCGCCACGCAAGTGCGAACAATCGTCCGTCCGGGGTCCCTTTGGCCTAGATGCAATACCAAAGTTCACAAACACCAGAGAGAGAGAGAGAGACAAAAGACATCCGATAGAATTGGGCGACCCGAACACAGCGGCCGATCCCCCCCAAGATTGGATCTGCCTCTGTGCATCCACCGGCGACCGATTGTACATCCCCTCCGCCTCGATTCTGCGCAGCCCGCCGCCGCCCTACATGCACTCAAACGGGGAACCGTCCCATTCTCGTACTTCCCCTGCTTGTTTTCAGCTCATCAGCCTCGCCCTTAGAAGACAGCCTCCGATGTCATCCTTCGGCGGACGGAGGATGTAACGACGGCTGCATACTGGAGGGGCCGCAGAACCAAAGGTTGTTCCTTTGGAACTGGGTCTGGACAAGACATTGGCACAACGTGCCGGCGGGAACTACGTCTCTGGCGTCCGATTAAGCAGACAGTCCGCTGTTGGGATTAGAGCTTGGGTGGGAGGAGAAAAGAAACGGTATCCGGCGCGATGCTTGCTGTTCCTAGTCGCGGAACCCAGGCCAGTAGCGTCTTGATAAGGTGCTGATCGTCGAGTGTGAAGCGCGGCAGAGTAGCCGCAACACCGACGACGGGCCCTGTCCAATAGAGGTTTGGCGCCGTCCCGGACGGACTTCATGCGAGCTTGCGGCGGTCTGATTTTCTTTCTTACATGTCTGCAGTATTCCATCGCAAGAAAGGCCGGACGACGGTGTCGGTGGTCGGTGATTACAGGATGCGATGAAAAGGGGGAAGGCACTCTCTTGGGTAAGTTGTTGGATACAGGTGGGATTGGTCCGTTCCATCGAATCGGCGGACCGGTGCTTCGAGGTTCGACGGACGTCGGTGATGCTAAGCAGCGACATGTCCGACATCGTCTCTTCGAACCCTGCCGCTGGAAGGATGAGTCCGGACTTGATGCTGCTGCTGCTGGTGCTGTCCCTTGGGAACTGAGTCAAATATCGAGTTGCATTGCGTCGTGCGAGGTATCCTTCGGTCGTTGTTCCTTGACGGAACAAGGCCTGGATGGATGTCGGGGTGTTGATCACCTCATCTCGCGGAGCGGAACCCGGTGATTGTGGCACCTGAAGCTATCCCAAACCTGCCTATCTCTGTCTCTGGATTCTCCCGTCGGGTCCATCCCATCGCCTTCATGTCCGAAGACGCATGTCTGCTATATGCCGGTCAGCTCGGGACATGTTCAACCCAGATGGGCAGTTTTGCCTGTAAGTGAAGCACTCGATGTCCTCCCATCCCGTGGGATCACAAACCATGAAAGCTCGGCGGCGGCATCGCCATCCCGCGGTGTTGCTTCTTCTTCACCTGACGATCCCGTACCCCATTTAGCCATGCCACGCCTTGTAATCTGCCCTCGCACATGTGCTTACTGGCCGGGAGAATCCTTGTCTCGCCCTGCTTGCCGATCCTCGTACCTGCCGCTGATCTACTTCACGCCGGAAGGAAGACATCGTGGGGACGCCCGACCACGCAGAGAAGGCGTGTAAGTGAGCAGTGAACAACGCGGTGTGGTGTCCCGGAGGTTGTGGCAGTCGCGGCGTGGTCATGCCATGGTTGCCATATGGAACCTTGCAGCTTAGGTTGTCGACTGCGGCTAGCTGCAGGTTGTAGTGTCTTGCTCTTACCGTCTGTCTCTGTTGTCAACTGTCTGTCGAAACTGACAGAACTCTCAACCGCATCCCCACGGACATGAAAGACAGGGACAGCTTCGGGTTCGTTCAGCCTCGTAAAAGATAGCATGGCTTAGACGCAAGTAAGCCAACCAGTCCGAGGCGGCATCTTTCGGTGTTCGTCGCTTCTTTTCCAAGGGTTGCAAATTAGACTTGCTTTCGTCTCTATTATTTTAAATTTTGGTCCGGTAGTTGCTTTACTTGGCGTGAAAAGACCGGTTCGGTTGCCCTGTCGACACACTTCGGTGATGTTTTAGCAAGTCCGTACCCGAACGTTGCAATGCTGGTATCGTTGTGAGAACGTCGAACGGCGCACGGGCGAAAACCTGTCAACCGTCGATCAATGTCCCACGGATCACCGACATCAGGACGATGTTCGGATGGCAGGCTAGGCCTAGTCCGTTCCCTCTTGGTTTCTCCTTCTCTTTGGTCTGCCACCCCTGGGCTAGCCCCCGGCTCATTTCCTTCTGTGTCTTTCTCTTGTCCGTATCTCGTCTATCTTCTTTTCTTCTCTGCTCTATTCATCCCTACAACGAAGCCTCTCTGGCAGCGGCAGCAGCAAGTCCGCGATGATGAAGGGCGGGCCTTACGCAAGAACGACGTCAACGTGAGACCTTTATCACTGGATAGGCCATCGCCTTTCTCACAGGAACAATCGGGCCAACGCCAGACGCCAGGCTTACCGCCTCCTCCCGCTTTGCTTCTGAGAGAACGACTGGGGAAAGGGAATGGAAGATGGGTGCGCCCTGCCAGTTGACAGCAGCCAGTCGCCATGAGCTGCACTTGCAGTTCTGAAACGCAGACGTGAACGCCTCAGGAGTCGTCCTCCCACACCCACTCCCAGAGATCTCTTGACCAGACGGCATAAGGGCTCCTTCAACCATACAGAACGCCGACTACGCGTCCCCCGTGATCGCCAGCGCCGCGCGGACTCTGCGCGTAAAGACGAATCCGGATATGGAAGAAATTCAGGATTTGCTGGCGTGCTCTTCACATCGCTCGGCGCTTTGAACAGCTGGAGAGGCAGAGATGTGAGGATGGCATGGAGGACGGTAGAACATGGCCTAGAGAGAAGGAGGGGTAGACGAGAGACGGAGCTAAGAGCTTTCCAATGCAAGTTTGGAGCCAACTTTCGAATCACTAGCAACTCTGGACGAATGAGAGCAGAGAAGAGACTGGGAAACACCATGGTTACTGGGGTGCGGCAGGTAGCTGTAGTGTGCTATATTGCGGTGAGTCGATGATCTTTTCTTTCTTTCCGTCTTTCTTGGCTTCTGTTCCTCTGTTCATCTCATGCCGGTTCTCTTTTCTGGCCAGGGTTTGCCTTCCTTCCATTGTGTCTCTCGTCCGGGGGTGTGGTCAAAATCTTCTCGGGTATGAGCTGAAGTGTTGTTGACCGACGGGCGAGGGATATGTTCGCACTAGCTCTGAGCCGTTGTCACATCGGATGATGGAGGGTGGGTTAGGCGATGATGGGACAAGATCGTCCGGACTGGGACGGATCTTTGTACAACACCCCGCGCAGGCGGCATGCTCCTAGTCCTTTCTGTGCCTCTTCTTGCCCATCACCCCATATCCCTCGGGGGGCCCTGTCGTCCCCGTCCCTCTCGTCTATATATCTCGTGCCTCCTCCCCATCATCCTAATCTCCATCATCCACATGGACCTGGACGACATACCTGGACGACATACCTTACCCCGCCACCCTTGCCAATGTCATCAAGTGCGGCGTTGACGGCTTGGGGGTTGAGACCTCGGATAACTCTATGGGGGAGAACGACCATGTCGCCAGTCGACAACCACTTCGGAAGGGCGGTGGCCCATCGTTGGAACACGATTGGATGAGCTTCGAAAGAGCCGTAGACGTTGTGCAAGGAGATGCCCTTATCGGCCAGGGCGGCAGTGTCGGCGCCAGTGGAGGATGCCAACATGATGATGGTGCCTGAAACACCGGACACCTCGAAGAGAGGGACAGCAAGGGTTGGATGACCAGACGCGTAAGCCTCGACGACATTGATGACTGAAGACCCCAAGATGGATTGGACTGTGGCGGCAATGGAAGGGGTCGACCGGTCGATGACATGGGTTGCACCCAAAGCTCGAAGAAAGGCGAAAGATGACTCTGAAGAGGTGGTTATGATGGTTCCGATACCAGCAATGGACGCAAGCCGAACGACGAGAGACCCGACGGTAGTACCGGTGCCGAGGACAACCACGTGAGCGCTATGGTATTCAATGATTGGGTCCATGCCGGGAAAGGGGAAATCAAGGCCAGATCGATGGAACACAGAAAGAGCCGCAGTGAAAGGATTCGTTACAAGGGTCGCAGCCTCGACAACGGAGATTGTCTCAGGAACGGGTATCAGATATTCGGTATTGGCGAGAACGAAGGAGGCTAGGCCACCAGCGTGAGGGCGGCGGAGATTGCCTTGAAAGAGGACTTTGGTCCCAACGGCAGGATAAGAAGATGGCACTTGGGTATTCGAAGGCTGAGGACCGTGTTCGACAACTTCGCCGACAACATCGATACCGATAGTAACTGGAAGACGGGACGAGATATCGAAGACGTCAAGGTCGCGAAGCTTTTGGTCGAATGGGAGCAGGCATGTAGCATAAACGCGAACCAAAGTCTCTCCACCTCCAGGGCGTGGAATAGGTTACTTGCTTGGCACGAGGGAACTGCCGACGGAAGTCAGGCACAAAGCCGTCTGAGACTTTGTGTTGCTGGCGGGAATGCTTGGACGATGAGCTTCAAGTTGTGCAAAAGAGCTTGAAGAAGGTGGGTGCTGAAAAGCGAAGCTGCTGGTGTTGACTGGCAGCTTAGCCGCAGCTTGTCTCGCATTGTCTTACATCATCTCCGATGCTATCCAACTTTGGCTGCTTCATTGGGCCGAGGTCAGGATCCAAATGGACCACATCATGACGGTCCATCATGGACGAACATGAGCTGCGGATCAATCGTAGATGGAGATATCGGAGTCATGGCTTCGTTCATGGTCTAAGGATCCAGCAGTAAAGAACCGGTCGCCGGCAGAGAGGAGAAGAGGACAGTGACGCAGACAGTAATAATCAGACAGCAGCAGATGACTATCCAACAACACCAGCAGCAGCAGAAGTAGCAACTAGGATCGCGGCTAGTAGCTTGCCGTCTGCTATGAAGTTGCTGATTTTGGGACCCCATGGCGGGATTTCAACCAGGTGGAACGTGTAGCGCGATATCCTTGCAGTACAAAGCCGACAGCTTGGTGCTTCTTCAACTGAACGGGATAATGATAGTAAAATGCCCTCCTGAAAGGATCGGTCGGAAGGATTTATGCTGCCGGCCGGGTCCGGCGTGAATAATCCCGGAGCGGGATAAAAGCGACGATTCTCTTCTCTTCAGATTTCTTCGACCACTACAAGCGGTAAGTATTAGACAGCATGAGCCCGGATTGGATTACCCACAGTGATGATGAAATGTTTTGTTCTGCAGACTATGGCAACTGCAGGATACACCACTTGCAAAAGTTTCTCTGGAAGAAGGAATAATCGATGGTCAAAGGAAGACTCTGGGCGCAAGTAGAAGCAGGTGGCTGGTCCATTATTGCCGAGTGCGCCTGCAAGGTCTAGTGATCATTTCCATATCATCTGGACGAATACCGCGGATGTCGCACTGGCTGCCGAAGATGTCTGAGCGCGTTTGTGCTTTATGCCACTGAGAGCTTGGGACGATGGAAATGATCACTTGATGCCGAGGTGCCAAGCGCCATGAACTGCTGAGAATGCGCAACCGCCAGCGTAATTGCATTATGCTTGGGCTTCGTGACAGCCCCTGGAATGTTCCATCTCAAGAGTAGAATCTCGGTCATTTTTGTTCTCAGGTTCCGTGTTGTCAACAACATAAAACGGTCTCCATGCCCTTTGGCCTTCAACGATGAATGGTGGTTGCGCGAAAAGTTGTAGTAACGTCATAGACAGTCTGAGCCGATTGTCTAGCCAATTGAAGCTCGCTTTGACTTCGGCAGCAACTTTGAAAGTCATGAACCACTCGTTTCGGATTGCAAGCTCCAGCCATGTTTGTTGGCTAGATCAGGCTGGAAATAATACCCAGCTCTCCCAGACCTGATTTACCCGTCATCGTGATTGCCATCTCTCTCGGAGGCGGGTTGACTGTGTGCGGAGAGATGTAGTGGATCGCGGGTACACAGTAATGAGTGTATCATGATTGGCTGGTGACATGTTTGGCGTTGCGAGCGATAATCGCATCGCAGCAGCATTTGCGCACTTCCTTTGAACCATATGATGTGTTCGTCGAAATGGGGCTGCTTGTTCCTGATCATTAAGGAAATGACAACCGGTTTAAGGAAATCCGAGGTGCGTGGGCTGAAGCCGAAGAAGCCGTTGGCAGGATACAGTTATTGATGACCTGATGACTAAGCTCGGTTAATCATCGGTCTTACCCGTCTGCGCGGGTCGCATTTTGGTGGGAGCTGGCCGCGATTTCGATGCCCCGAAAGCTCCAGTGTCCAATTCCAAAGCGCAAATCTCTGAGAGCTTCTACTGCCGGCATTGAGCTTCCCCAGATGCCGCAAATTGTGTAGTTCGGTCTGAAAATGCCAAGGTATGTAGTCAGAGGACTGCAAATGCCAGTCGGATCGGCTAATTGAGTTCTCAGGACCCCTCAATTCAAGTATTAAACCCACATCATGAGGGCGCAAATTGCCCGCCATGTCTCTCGACGGGTCGTCGTACCGAGGGGTTGCGTCCCCGCCTGCTCGATCCTCTCGCGCCCAACGTGTCGCCATGCCCAGCTGCCGGTAGCATCGACGATATCTCTTTCCCGACGAGCCCCGCGGAGGACTTTCTTCGGCATCCTCCAGAAGCCGCCGCGACAAATCAAGAAGCCCGAGTACGAGCCCGGTTGGACAACAGTGTTGACGTGGAGGAATCGCCTACTGGAGAGCGTACGGCCACCGACAAGGACAGAGTTGGTGGAAGCCTTCCGAGAGCTTTTCGTCTACAAGCTGCGGTTCAACGTGGTTGTCAACAGCACACAAGCCCTACACTGCAGAAACTTGCTGCAATACCTGCTGGAAAATAAGGATGATGAACCGGGCGCCGGACTTACGCTGGCAGAGCTCGTTTCTGCACGCGAGGCGCTGCTGAAACAGCCAAAGGAAGACACGAAAGAGCATCTGGAGTTCTCCCGCCAGCTGTACGAGGCAATTAAGGCGGAAAGGGCGCAGGATTCGATGGACCCTGGCGCGGCAGAGGACTTTGAATCTTTCCTCGTCGCTTTGACGCTATTTGGGGCGTCCAAGGAAGGCCTCGTTGTCCTGCAAGAGTACTGGGATCAGCTCCCAGTGGCAGAGAGACCAGCGGCCCAGAACCTCTGGGTCAATGTCTTTCAAGGCCTGGCGGAGGAGGGGCGCGAGTCAGAACTAGTCGATGCTGTCGCGAAGTCAGAGACGCTTGGCGTCCCATTCACGTCAAGTGTCCATGAGGCTTTGACAGTCTTCTTTGCGACGAAGAACAATGTGCTGGAAACGAAGAAGTGGTTTTTACGGCCAATACACAACGAAGAGCGTCCGACCGCCAGGACTTACAAGGAACTGCTACAATTTTCAGTTAGGACTGAACAGAAGGGCTGGACGACGCCGATCTTTAAGAAGCTTGTGGACTCGAATCCAAGCAAGGAACACTGGGATGTTATATACCAGTGGGCCGTGCTTTCTATGGGCAAGAGGCTCGACGATCTGAAAGGCATGTTCGAGGTTGTCGCCCGCCATAACCCCGAAGATCCCAACAAATCACCGGATACAGATACCATAAATGGTCTTCTCGAGGTCGCTACCGAGAAAAACGACCCTTACTTGGCAGAACGGCTCATCGCGTTTGCTTCTGAGCTAGGTATCCGCCTCAACGCCAAGACATACCTCCTCCAAATGGACTTCAAGATCAGGGCAAAGGACTTATCTGGTGCGAGAGCTGCATACATGCAGCTCCCGAAAACCGAACTGGAGGGAGACGAGGATCTACCGCTGATCAACAAGTACCTCCAGGCGCTTTGCCACCAACCGACACCAGATTTGAAATCCATTCGCGAGATCTCGGACATTCTGGAGGAGCGTATCGTAACACTTGACCCTGATACTGTGGTTGCGTTGTGTACAGTCTTCCTGAAGAACGACCAACAGTTCGAGGTTATCGACACACTGTCGCTGAATGTGTTCCAACACAGCAACGAGCAAAGACAGTCTATCAGAGACGCCTTTGTTGGGTATTGTTTGGATAGCAAAAACAGCACGGCGAGAGTGTGGGATGCATACTCAATCCTCAGGCAATTCTTCCAGGAGACTAGCATCGAGAGTCGCCTTGAGCTGATGGATGCTTTCCTCGCCCGCAACCGGCCCGACATGGCGGTCCATGTGTTCGGACACATGAGGCAACACGTCAACCCCGACTTTCACCCGGCCAGCGACGCCTACATTAGGTTTTTTGAGGGCATTGGTAGATGTCCAGACTTGGACAGCTTGAAGCTAGCCCACAACATGTTAAAGATGGACACCACCATCCAACCAACAACGAAGATGTATAACGCATTGATGATTGCTTACGGAGCTTGCAAACGACCGAGTATCGGACTCGATTTCTGGCAAGATATCGTTCGTTCGGCCGAGGGCCCATCATACAACAGTCTCGAGATCGTGTTCTCGCTCTGTGAAATCAAAGCCTTTGGGGATCAGACTGCCAGGGACATCTGGAACAAAATCGAAAAGATGGAGATTGATGTTCCTCCGTCGGTATTTGCCGCTTACTGCGGTGGTCTCGCGGGCAATGGCAATCTTCAAGAGGTGCAGAGCACGATCAGAACGATGAAGCGAGCTGTTGGATATGGGCCTGATGCGATGACGTAAGTTATGCCTTGGCCATTCCGACCCTGATACGAGCAGCTGACATCCATACAGTTTGGGCATCCCTTTTAACGCATTGCCTGGGCAAGGATTACAAAGAGATTTTGAGGCATGGGCCAAGAAGCAGTTCCCTGAGGAATGGACAGAGGTGGAGAAGCATCGCTACTACACCACGGCGGAAAAGTTGAAGAAATTCAAGCTGCAGCGGGTGCTGAAGGCATGATCTGTACAAAAATGCTAGAAAAGCTTCTTGTATCTGTACAAATATAATAGACGCCGAAGATGTTGTACAATTCATACATGTGGAGGAGTTACCCCTGTTGGTCCTAAGGTAGACACGTCGACTTTCCCCGCCTTCTACACAGCCATCACGTTTTTACCTCCATGCCTGCTTGAACGTCTTCTTCAGAATCTCGGGATGGTGGTGCACACTGGGGTGGATACCCATTCCAATGGCTCTTCGGATGGCCTTCGTCATCCTCCTGTGGTTGACCGGCCTCAGTCCCGTGTCCTTGGAGTGCATGATATGTCCGAAGGGGGTCATGAATTCAGAGACCATGGCGAAGTTCTACATTTTCTGTCAGCGTCTGAAGAAAGTTGCGTCGAAAAGTCCCGTTAGCAGGGATGCGACATACCCTGTAGTGGTCCTTGGGGTTGATGCCCAGCATGTCGATAACATCAACCTCCGGCTTTCGGATCCTCCTCCACTTGTCCATCTCCGTGGGGCTGAGGTCATGCGGGGCGTAGACGTTGCCGTTGCGCCAGCGACGAGGCATCTGCTTGAGGTAGTCGTCGCTAATCTTCTGCTTCTTGAGCGAATCGAGCATCGTGCGCTGGCGGATAGCAGCGTTACGTGCTCCGCCCAGGGGGTTCTTCGACATGAGAGTCCTAGCTCGGTCGATAGGCGCTTTCTGATCGTCGAGGCCCAGGAGGCTGTCGGTATTCGAGATTGGTCTTCTGGGCTCTATTTTGAGGTTAGCGCTGCGTGCATTTCTGGGTAGTGGGAGGCATTGACGAACCAGACACAGCAGGAGTAGCGGAGAAAGGTCGCGCGATCCGGGCCATGAAGGCGCCCGGGGCCTTGAAGGCCGGGAACAACGGTAGTCTCGGCGGCATGATTGACTTCTGGGCGGATTTTGTCGATCCAACAGGCGTGGTCTGTCGCGGGTGTTGAGGCTGTCACGGTATTTTTTTGGTAGGCGGACGGGATGTTCCGCCCCACAAATACGATAAGCACTGATAAGGAAGTTGTCCCACCTTAGCTCCAGAACTTTTTCTCTACGACAACCCGCCAACCATCACCAGCAAATCGCACTGGGAATACGCGACGCCGACAGCCCAGCATGGTCCGCAAGCTCAAGTTTCACGAGCAGAAGCTTCTGCGGAAGCACGACTTCATCACATACAAGCAGGTACCGACACAAGCCTACGCTCGCGAAGTCCACAGATCCAGGCGCATTGCTAACAGTTTCTGCTAGGATGGCGATCACCGAGATGCGGCAGTGGTATGGCAGAACCAAGAAAAAGATGCTTTCGCGACCAACTCTAACACAAGTAACAGGTGCGCCGGTATATGATTCAGAAGCCTGAGGACTACGTGAGTATTGTCGCGACCATCATACTATCGACACCCGCTAACAAGGACAACCAGCACAAATACAACCGGCTATGCGGCGTGAGTTTGGCACCGATCGCTTCGACTCGAAACACACGGGATCGAGCAATCCACCCGAAGACAACTAACACATACTTCCGCAGTCCATCCGTCAAATGGCGCATAGATTGAGTCTCATGCCCCCTGAGAGCGCGGCTCGTCGCAAGCACGAGAAGCTCCTCCTTGATAAGCTGTACGACATGGGCGTTTTGTCCTCCGCATCAAAACTGTCTGCCGTCGAGCACAACGTCACCGTCAGTGCCTTTGCTAGGCGGCGTCTCCCGGTTGTCATGACTCGGCTTCGGTATGAAAGCCCGAGGTAGCTGCTGGATCCGCAAGAGCAAATGCTAATCATGTTTCTCAGGATGGCCGAGACCGTTCAGGCGGCGACGAAGCTCATCGAGCAGGGCCACGTTCGTGTGGGTACCGAGACATGCACCGACCCGGCTTTCCTGGTGACTCGCAGCATGGAGGACTTTGTCACCTGGACCGTGGGCAGCAAGGTGAAGAGGAACATCATGAAATACCGCGACAAGTTGGACGACTTCGAGCTGTTGTAACACGGGACGATTTCACTTTCGGATGAAGGCCCTGCCGCCTGGACGGGATTTGGACTTCGACATTATCTGGCGGTGTTAAGGAGTTTAGGAGGACAACAAAAATGTTGTTTGGTTTATCGCAAATAATATGTGTGTCGGCTTTGAGTCAGCAACATCCAAGATCTGGAAAAGTTCGGCGAAGTCATCGGGGAGGTGTGCGACAAGTGGCGGTCGGCATAGAGCGCAAAAGCCTGCTGCTTTGCACTGCGCTCGATTGTCGCAGCGTCATCAATGCGAACTGCTCGCAAATTGTGGGCGAGCCGTGGGCGGAAGTTTCGCGATTCGCTATTCGCATTTGCCTTTCTCCTTGGCGAACCCCCAGCCGCCATCATGGCAACTGATGCCTATTTCCATCGCTGCCAGCCCATCATGGAAGAAACTATCTTCGGCAATACGAGCAACTCAACGAGAAAGCGAGGCTGGAAAACATTAGACTTACGTCGCAGAAGCACGTCACATCAGCTCTTTGCGGCTCTGGTTGAGGAGATGAACACTTCGTGGAGGGATGAAACGGTCGCAAAAACCTTGACTATAATGTCAGCCCAAGTAATATGGGATCGGACTATCGCATGAAAAATTGGGGAAAGCTGAGCAGCCTGAACGCGGTAGCCGAGGCCGCTTCCCCTTTGGGAAGTTGTTGAGACGAAAGAGCCGGTGACTGTGAGTCTTTGGCCCGTAATGGTCTGAATCCCGATTTTGTCTAGGATGGCCATGCTGTCCGAAGGCCGGAACAAAACTTTCCCACCCACAACAGACAAGAAAAACGTGAAATATCGTCGGAAGATAACTCTATGGGGCTGAGGAGGGTGTTGGCACGGACGCCATGGAAAGGGGAAACCGAGTCGAAGACTGGATAACCCCGTCTTGAAACAGGGTACATGACCAACTGATACTGCGAGCCAATGGTCTGGATGGCGAAGATCTGATCTCGCCCAATCAGAAATGGGATCGCGTTCGGTTTTGAGGTCATCGTCGCCTCTTTTGTGTCTGATGTTTTGCACCTTCTTTCCTTTGAGGGTGTGCTCGAACATCAGCGCACGACGGTGGAAAGGGGCTGAACAATGTTTGAACGGATGAATCGGGGGCCGGCATGCCTCCCCAACCGCGACTTGTCCTTCCTCTCTGCTGTGGCTAGAACTGCGATATAATAAAGTGTCTTCCGGGCTACACCATCTCCCGCTGATGTTGCATTCCTGGTGAAGCACTTACACACTCTTTGATAATACCTTAACATAGCGCGCTGGTCGACTATCACGCTCCTTAACCAAATTCAGCCGCGAACCTTTCTCTAGGATAACATATAATCGACGACAATCCCTTTTTGGTAAACTTAGTGTTTTCTAGGAGGATTTGCGAAAGAAAAATCAGCCAAACATTCCCCCAACGTCTCATCGGCTAAATAAGCCATCCGCGAGAGCATCGAAGAGTCCTTCACAATGTCTGCCATGAAGTACGTCTTCTTGGCTACAGCAGCCATCCAGGCCGTCAGTGCTCATGGAACGGTGAACGGTATCATGGCGGATGGAGTCTTGTAAGCGCGGACCCGATAGTTCCTCTATCATATAACCTCACGGTTCACTAACACGACACAGCTACGAGGGTTACAGCCCGCAAATGCAGTACAAGAAGCCCCCGCCGCAAGTCGTTGGCTGGTCCATCCCCAAAGACCTGTCCAACGGCTTCGTCGCCGTCGACAAGTACGCAGACCCCGACATCATCTGCCACGTCGGCGCTGAGCCCGCCCCCATCGCCGCCAAAGTGACCGCCGGCTCTAACGTTACCGTCTTCTGGACCGACTGGCCCGAGTCGCATCACGGGCCCATGATGGACTACCTCGCTCCCTGTAACGGCGATTGCGCAAAGGTCAAGAAGGAGGATCTCGAGTTCTTCAAGATCGATGCCGTCGGCCTCGTCGACGGGTCCAAGGCGCCGGGCAAGTGGGGTTCCGACGACATGCTCTCGAACAACAAGTCATGGACAATGAAGATCCCGGCCAACATCGCTCCTGGGCAGTACGTGCTGCGCCACGAGACGATTGCGCTTCACGAGGCTGGACGCGAGGGCGGCGCTCAGAACTATCCGCAGTGCCTCAACCTCGATGTGCAGGGCGGGGGATCCGAAAAGCCCAAGGGTGTCAAGGCGACGGCGCTGTACAAGTCCGGCGACGACGGCATCAAGTTCAACATCTACAAGGACAACCTCGATTACCCCATACCCGGCCCGCCGATGATGGGTCAGGAGGGGAAGCCAACGCGACGCAGAAGGAGGGTAACCGTCATCTACTGATGAATCTACTGATGAGGGGAAACCCGTTCTTTTCGTTTCAGTGTACAATCTTGTTCTCTTCTGTGTTGTATTTGTACGGATATACGGATAACGTTCGACGCATGATGGGGTGTATGGAAATCATTCATTTGGCTCAACAATACCTGATGTGACACGCTGGACGTGCATGTCTCCTTTTCCTCAACTAGAGCCATTCATGTTCCCCTTTGATGAAAACTTGATGACGGGCATACAATTTGTGTATAGATGGCGGTCCTGCGAGATGGAGTCACGAGCAAGCGAGCATCCATGGACTTGTACAAACATGATGTACAATAGCTTATGAAGCGAGTGGTTTTGAAACATGAATGTTATGCGTCACGATCGGTCGCCGTGATACTATGTTTCTGAGGCCGCACTTTACGGAGCTGAGATGGACTGACCCATGCCCAGCTTCTCTCGGAGCGGCCACAGGATGTCCTTCGTTGTCCTCAACTCTTGGAAGACGATCCCGGTGCAGATCCGATAAACATGATCCCCAAAACGACCGAGGCCGCCCGCTCACCGACCCAGTTTTTGTTCCTCCCGAGGGGTTTCACAAAACATCCTGCGCCCGAGACGCTGCCGGGAACCGAATCCCGTGGGCTCTTCTCCTCCACACCGGCCCCGACCACAGCGGCTCATGGTTGACATGGCTCACCCGGATGTCCGTGAGGTCCCAGGTCGCAGATCCCTGAGCACAGGAACAAAACCTGAAGCACGGTAGGCCCCAATAACACATTTCATTATTGACCAGCCACCGTGTCCAGCTGCACTTCATTCGTGCCCGCTTTCGTATGCAGATCGCCCGTGACCGCCCCTTGCCCCCTTGCCTATATCTCTCGATCTCTTATGTTTGGTTTCTTGCGAGAAGCATTGTTCAAGCCTCGGCCGCCTCGGGACAAGAGAAGTTTAGTGTCACTGTGTGATCTACCGTGTATCACCCTTTCCTCATAACGCCCACCTACCTGCGCACGTATCGCGGGAGGCAGTGCAATGCCGAGATGTGGCTGTTTTGTAAGCTTAACACTCTGGCCGGACCGACTCGCAGGAAGCTTAATAATGGCCCGTGAGGACGGCATCCCACTAGTGCTACAACGACTCGCCTGCCCGAACTTCATCGTCCGATGGCGCCTGTGATTGAACTTCATTTAGGCTGATGTTGGTGATTTGGCCTCTCGAAGGCCTGGTGAGATGCATGACAGACTGATGTCAACTGAGGCCTGACACTTCTTGATGTGACCACCGCTCGTGCGCGAGGAAAAGATGACATGGCGGAGTGCTTTTAGCAATATTCATGGGTAGAGAGGGCAGATTCCTGAACTGGGTGGAACGGAAGCTTGGGATTGAGACACCCGCTTCTTCAGGAAGTTGCCGCGAGAGAAAGTGGTCGGGTCGCGCGCCTCACTCGGAAATAACTTGCCCAGGATACCAGTTACCTCCATGGCACTAAAGACTCAGGATGACCTGAAGATTCACCTTTCCTTCCAAAGTCGAACCCCTACTGTGTGATGGGTGGCGCACCTTGAGTCATAGCAGCCAATGACCTTGTATGCAATTCTAAAGCCGAGGTCTTCGCGACTTCTATTTGAGACCGAAGGTGTGTAGATGATTCGTTGCTTGTATACTTCAGAAACCTACCTAGCTAGGTAGCGTGCTTACCGTGTGTAGGTATCTTCAGAATATAGTTCGTTCGACTGGAGTCATCTCCTGAAGCACCACACAAGGTTGACGACGGGACTTCCCCTACCTAAGGTACTTGAGTTATATCTTCCTCCGTCCGCGAGAATAGAAATTGTTAGTATAGTCTGGTCTCAGACAGTGTTCTGATTCCGAATTCACATCTAGAAGCAGCCGACTAGTATCGCTGGGAAAAACAGACGTATGTTCAGTACAGAGACTCGCGGGACAGTTGGTAACAAAGACAGTAAAATGGTTTAGCTCGAATTGATGAGGTACTGAATTGAAATCAGAATTTCCTGAACGGCATGCCCGGAGTGCCTGCACAGGACTAAGGGAAGGTACTTAAGCATTGTTGCGGTTTCCCACTGACGTCCATCCTGTGTCTCGATGTGTTCCGTTTTTGGAATCTATAGCCGGTGGAAGACGTGCGTGAGACGGAGGAACCAAACGCTCTGCTGAGTCGCGTCCTGCAATGTCAATGGAAAGCTGGGAACCATTGCGTCGGTACTTTTCATTCCATTGAGATTCATTTGACGTTTGTCACCTCCCGTCAGTAGATACGAGCCGGCAAGGGACGGCATCTAGAGTTTTCAAAATGGAAACCGGGCGTCAACTTCAAAAGGTAAAACCGTTCCCCCGGAAGACTCGAGTGAGATGAATCAGAAACTTTTTTGCTCATGTATTAGGGTATCTTGTTTTCGGAATCGGCCCATCCTGTTCACAAAAGGAGCAGCCCTCCGGTCTCTTGTACTTAGCCACCGCTGTATCGGGGCCCTCAGGCTCGCTGTGATGCCCGGCCCTAGTCTTGTCAGACATCACGGGCGGCACTTTACAAGCTCCGCATTGCCCATCTCTGACCGTGATTTGGCGTCTCTCTTTGATTCAATCGTCCGTTGGATCGTCGGCTTGATTTCCGTTCCGCATATCTTCGCCATTCCACGAATGCCCATTCCCGCTTAGCCAAACTTGCGGCTGCCGCCCTTAGGACCCTTCTCCTCCTTCTTGGCCTTCTTGCCCTTGCCGATCAGCTCAAGGTGACCGGCGCGCTCTCCGAGAAGCTTCTCCGTCTGATTGACAAGTCCCGCCGCGAACTTCTTCTGCATCTTGTCGGCGGCCATGCCCTTCTTGGCCTTCTGAGGCTTCGCCACTCGTTGTGTGTTCTTCTGCTTCTGCTGCTTGGGCTTGCCCGTCGGCGCGGGCCGAGACGATGACTTCAAGCCGCCTTGCGCCATTTCGTTTGATTTTCTCGCTCGCGCGGGTCTGGCCGCAGAGAGAGGGCTTCGTAGGGAGTCTCGGAGACGGACGTCGGCCGCAGTTGCTTCGTTTGCAGGTCGAGAATATGGCCGACCGCGTGGTGTGATCGTGATAGGTGCACGCTTTTGAGTTCTCTCAGCCGGGAATAAATGCTGCGGAAGTGATTCGACTGATCGGGGTTGTTCAACGAAGACGTCGTAACGCTTGTTCGTCGTGGTCTGGAGGAGAATAGGACAAAGCGAATGCTGGGGCGGGCGACAACCTGAGAAAATTTTAGTGGACCCGACCTTATCTTGACCGACACACCGACCCCGCCCCCACTTTGTCCCAGATACAAGGTACGTACCTCAGAGGACCCCTGATTCCTCCCTCAGTCGCCTTTTTCGCATTCCCCTTCACAAACACTGAACTTTGGAGGTTTAACTGTCAGTACGTTCCGTCGCGAACACATTCAGCCTGTTCAGAGAGCACCAGACCTATAGGAACTTGCTAGACCTACGATATTTCGAATATGAATCGACCTGAGAGTGGCCCCCCTGAACTATGCGATTGTCGGCATCATAAATCGTCGTCTACTCTGTATCGTGGGCAGATGTCTCTCATCACATGCCCATCGATATGCGCGAGACAGTCCTAGCCGCTATCGTCTCGCCTCACAAAGTCTAGGAAAAGATGGAACGGTCGAAATCATTGCAGAGAGAAAGGATGAACGGGCGAGGCATCCTACAAGCTGCAATTGCTGCGCATCGTATGGTACGAGACAGGTACGGTTGGGTTGTATTCGAAAGGTACCGGTATTATGCACAATATTGAGGCGTATTTGTGCATCGGTAATACAATTATATGATGGACGTTGAGCCTCGACGGTAGGATTGCCGTAGTGTATGAGCTACGGGGCTTGTGTGCAATGCTAGACCAACGAGCCGTCGCCCAGCTTCCGAAGCTTGAGCAATCCAAAAACGTTTGGAGGTTTTCTCGATTCGACACATCTAGACTACGTATGGCCTTCTAACCAGTCTCGTCCATTACGCCGCTGTGGATGTTGTCTGGAAAGTTTGACACTTTTTGGCGCTTGCCAGCAGTTACTTGTGCCTAGAAGAAGGTTGGGAATGTCCACATCGCCCCTGAAGAATAGATGCGTCAGGTTGTCGCCTTGCTTTGGCCTGACATGTATGATATCAGCTCCATGTGACGACGATTGGTACATTATTCGAGATGTTTCTGAGGTTCTGCCGACCCTCGCGTTCAAGTGATGTGGAATGCACTCATTCAATTGGTCCGGAACGCGAATCTGGTGGTGCTTCGTTGAAGCCACGCACCATCCGCGCCGTTGCATCCTTCCCGCACACCATACGATCGCCGCTGGAGACTGGCACTTACATCCAAGCCTTACCTTCCGCGAATGTACACCATACATCAGGCAACAGCATAATCACCTCTGTTGCTGCCGTTCCCGGGCTGTTGCTCTTGCCAACCTGGTATTGTCTATCACGCCCGTCTATCATCGGCGTCTCTGTCGTCGTCCTTCTTCTCCCTTACCCATCCGTCTTCTAGCCAACAACGAGCCTCGGTTTATTCGCATCAATACTTCACCATCGACGACACCAAAGACGATCGACTTTGTCCACCACGATGAAAATAAAAATGAAGCATGTAGCATTCTTCGGCGGCACGGGTCGGACCATATTCAACAGTCTTTGCCACGCCCTTCTGGACGAAACCATCTTTTGCCACGTCCGTATGTCGTTGTCATTCTCGCTGGTTCTTGTAGGCCAAACACTCACCAACTTCGTTCAGTTATTCGGGATACAGACAAGCTGAAGGCTTTGCTTGTCAGCTCGATGCCTGACCTCGCACGCGAATACTCTCTTCGTCTTCGCGTTGTTCAAGGGGACATCTTGAGCTACGACGACGTCGCAAACGTTCTATTCCCGCCTCAGACATTGGAGGAACCTGTGGAGGTCATCATATTCGGAATATCCGGCTTCAAAATGACTGCAGGGACCACAGAGCATTCTAAGTCCGACGACACTTTGAGCGAAGATGCCGCGAGAGCCATCAGAGATGTCCTAGATCTGGGATATGAGAAATACAGCAACGGGTTGCCTACAACCCCGCCCCGATTTGTTGCCTTGGGCACTCTGGGGGTTGATAGCGCTTTCTGGGCGACCTCTGATCCGACTGCTATCAAGTTGAGACGTAGCTGCCGGTGGTTCTACGACAATTCCTTCCACGAGGATTTGTACGGGATGGAAAAACTTGTGGCTATCGAACTTGGTGAGCTTTGCCGCAACACGCTGGTTGTCCGGCCTGGGTTTCTCACCGACGACGACCCAAAGGTATTCATCGTCCACATCGGTACCGTCATGAGCCCGCCATCGGGTTTTACCATCAGCAGAAAGACTTTAGGCGAGTGGTTGTTCCGGCATGGCGTCTTTGGTAACTTGCAAGGCATCATCAGTATCACCGGCTCTTGAAGAATCAGTGGCTAGTCGTATGGGCAAGGCGGACGAAGGCGAAGGAGAAGAAAATGGCCAAGAAGGACGACGGCTAAGACGGACGACAGCCAAGAGGGCCAATGATAAAAGGCACAGTGACAGAAGAAGTATCACCTATAAAGGGACTCCGTGACTTTTAGAACGCAGATACTCCTTGCTCCATGTGGCCAAGCCTTTGATATTTCATGTGCTATGCTCTGACCCTACAGAAGACACCAAAAAGACCCATCAAAATAATCGATGTTCAAGTCTGATGCAAGCCAGGTGTCGTCGCGTCAATCTCTGCAGCGTAAGGCAGTGGGTGAAAGATCTGACATAAATCCTCAAAATCCTCCACGTAATTATGCGATATGCAAGCTGTGTGTTCAGTTTAACAAACGTTGCCAGGTATTATTTGAACAGCGGAGGGATGACCTCCGCATGGCAAGTTCACGCCCAAACTCACTTGTACGAAAGCTTAGCTTGCGGCTGCTCCCTCGTGGCTGACAGTGGCCGGACATCATGCCTGACCACGGAAACTTCCAGTAGCTTGCTCCTCTCGCAGGAATTTGGGTTCATTAGGGGTCAAGCTTTGCGGTAATGCTTCTCTGCTGCTGATGGTTTGAGTCAAGAATTCTGTTGCCTGGCGGTGGCTGTGGACGGTTTGTCACTAAGAAGCTTGTCATGTTAGCGGGCTAGTGAACTGGATCCTCAAAGGCGATCGAGCCATTGGATTATGCGCCTCGCGCTTATTCCTACCTATGACATTTGATGAGTGATTGCTTAGAAATATTGTTCTACCGTTGGGAGACTGTTACATGAACTCACAAGCGTTGCAGGTCGGTCCAGAATCAAAACCAGGACAGTCTGGAGGGTGGTTTCGAGTCGATACTTCGATCCAGCATATTGGACAGTTTCCTCCAACGGATAACGTCGGAACATCCAAAAACATGCCACTCCATTTGGTATCGAGGGCGCTATTCTTATGAGCACCAACCTCTTTTGCGTGATAAGCGCCGTATGCCATGCTAAACATTCACAGCCGCCTTAGTGTTCCCTGAGTGATGGATCCTTTGCCCACTCTGGAAGACTGAGACATACCCCTAGAGAGTGAGACCGACCTACGGGAGGAAGCGCCACAACTTCCATTTCGGTATTGTTTTCTCAAAGGTGGCGGCCGGTTGTGGCATTCAAGCCCCAGGGAGGATCAAGGGCGCATCTGCTGATACACGGCAGTTCCACTACTTCGATTCAGTGTTCCGGCAACTGGCAAGAGGCGGTGGGGATAACAGATCGCCGCCAACTCATGGACTGCGGCTCAACAGAAGATCTGGTGTGACAGTGAGACTATGAGATCATTGAGGTGTGACAGTAAGAGTCGATATGGAGAACGAAGAATGCCTTGATTTTGTGCGCTACAAATGCTATCGAACGCCATCGCCATGCCTTTCCGCCAATGAGTGTACAATTTGATCACTATGGAATGATATCACCTCACCTGTTGAAGTAGTAGAACATGTCATCAACATCGCCCCCTGCCGTGACCGCTTCAGGAGGCAGACTCACAGCACCTAGCTGCCACTGCCAGTGAGCCTCCATTCTCACTGACTCCATACTCATGTCATCAGACATTCTTACGTGGTTTGTATCCCATTCTCCAGGAAACGCTGCGTGAGGATTCATCATGCCCGTCAACGAGAGGTCGGCTGACGGTTGCGCTAAAGTTGCGGTATTTCTGGATGGCGTAAAATAATTGTTCCATTCTTGCGGTCTAGCTTCAGGACTGCTGAATGCTGGAAAAGGAGTCTGGTGGGATTCGGCTGACGATGTGGGAATCATTGGCGTAGACATAGCGCCGATCATCGAGGATCAGGCAGATCCTACAGCTGTTGGAGCTGTAGAGATGTAATCGCTAGGTGGACTGTGTGACAAACCCGAGTTGCGACGAGGGCATGTGGTCGATGAGGTAGCTGATTGTGGACGGATAGGCATGGGGCTGAGACTGAGAAGTCTGTCACCGTTGCTCGGAGTGTTGAAGTCACCACCGAAGGCTCTCAAAACGGCTTTCAGATGCTTCTTGATGACTCGTAGCTGGCTCCCGCCGGGCACAAAGTCTGAAGCGGCTATATCCACAAGCCGAGACGCGAGAGCTTCAAGACGAATATTGTATGCGTCCATCTGTGGATTCATCGCGTACGCCCCAGAGACCTTTCGTGCGTAGAGGAAAGATAGTCCGCGAGCGCAGGCGTCCATAGTCGGGCAAAAGATATCGGGAATATTTCTCCGGTTCTGTATTGACAGAGAGGAAAGTAACGGATCTTCATGCTCTCCAAATTGAAGCATTATGCTGGCTAATTCCTGTGCAGAAAGAAGGAAACTCTCGACGGCTGCGTCGTTCAACAGTAAGGAATTCGTCGGTGGTGATGCTCCAGTAGACGGGAAGAGCAAATGTATCGACATAGTGTGGTACATTGCTAGTACGAAGTAACGCGAAGAAGCTGGCGCTAGTTGGAGGTTTACCACAAATATGTTCTCCGCCAACACCCTGTAAGCTTCGTGGCAGACGGCAGACGGATTCTCGGGGGAGCCGGTTTCGAGATACGTGTTGAAGATATAAGCTGCTGTGCTGGCGATATGGGCCAAGGGCCAGATGTCTTTGATCACTTCCTTTTGCTTCTAGAGTGTTGAAAAGTTATCGGGGATCTCGTCCAGCCGCATCAATGCGGAAGAAGACTCGTCGGCGGGTAGGAGGGTCGATGCTGCGCTTGTGGGTTGCAGTTGAGAGACAAGAGTGCGTGTTTGGAGCGAGATCCAAAGATTGAGGGCGTACGTAGTCCAGTAAAGGTAAGCTGCGATCTCCTTTTCCACTTCGCAGACATCGATGCCATTGATACGACTTGTAACTAAGGAGCCCCCTGATGCGGAGATCTTCTCTTCAATCTCAGTGGCTATGCGGCCAGCGAGTTCGATGTAGCAGGTTGCGCGGCGGATTTCTTTCTGGCATAAGGCATTCCAGCCAAGAAGCATGAGCGTTTGCGCCGTAGAAAGACTGGGAAGCGAGACTCCGTCTCCAGGCATGCCCGGCTGGGTGGCTGCAGTCGGCACTGGGCGATTATGAAGTTGACAAGCCGCCCAACTGAAAAGTTTGTGAGCCTTTCCCACGGCAATTTCGTCTCCGAGTGACACGGAGGCGTCAGCAAGTATTACGGCGAGGAGAATCTCGTCGTGAGTGCTGTCTCTGAGTGCCCGTAGAAGGAGAGTCTTTGATACGAGAAAGGAGAACGGATGAACGCTGTACCACACATCAACCAGCTGTCCGATTTGCCGGGTGCCGTATTCTGACAGTGAACTCGGGCCTGGCAGTGTTGCGTCGAACATTGTCAGGGTTGTGTCGCTGGCGAGGGTACTCGAATAAAATCTTCCACCGCCGTGTTCCAAGAACGTCGATCCTAGACTTCCGACCTTATTGACAACTAGGCTGACCAAATCATGAGCGAGGAAATGAAGAATGCTTGTACACTATAATCATGAAGATTAGGCATTGGGTGCTGAAAGGTACTATATAGGAGCTTGGTACCTTCGGATCTCTTTGAAAAGATTTGGAATTGCTTTTTCCACCCTGTTCGGATGGGTTGCGTTGAAGCGAATGGCTGAAGGTGGCATCATTGCCTTGAAACTCTGGCTTTGAGCCAAGGCCAAGATCTTCTCCAAAATTTCCTTGAAATATTTCTTCCAAGACAGTTGCCACATCCTCGCAATCTATTGAGACCATTGCATTCTCCGCTGAGAAAGTCAGATCCTCTAGAAATAATGTGGAGCGCGAAGAACCGGCAGTGAAAGATCGTTGACGTCGCATCATAGGTATGGAGATGGTTCCATCAGCGTTGCTGTTCCTTCGACTCCCATCTCGTGAAACCGGGCGAGGTTTGGTTGGTCGAGAGTCCCAGTCGTATACACAGTCGACATTCTGCTTGCGGCAAGCTTCGCAAATGGTCTCGTTGGAGCACTTGATCTTTCGAGCTCTGCAAAAAGCACAGCTCTTTCGAATTGGGTGTCTAGACGTATGAGACATGGCGGAGTCTGGCCAAGTAGCGGTTGTTAGGACGTAGGATGGGTGTAAGTTGGAGTTCATCGGGATCCGTGTACTAGTGATGCGTATTATCGGAGGCAAGAGGTCGAGGGCAAATTTCGATGAAAGTGATGAAGTATGATTATACCAAAGCCACATTTGTTTTTCGTCCAGGGAGAATCCTTGTGTTATAAGTTGTCAGGCGATATGTGATGCCAACCCAGTCCAACGGGCTGGTTGTGACCCGGCATCACAACACTATGCCCCATGCGCTCTGGGGGGCTGACGAGCGAAAGGCGTGAGCTCATCTTGAAATCGACTATTATAGCAAACTGTCGTGTCAGCAGCTCATCAGACTGGCGTGGAACAACGTATCGTGGTGCCTGATCTGTACATCGGTAGTCTGTCTTAGCTCTTTGCGGTCAGTCGGTAACGCTAGCCGACGTCTAAGACAGGCGCGCGCCTGCGTCGCCGTCGAGTTGTGCAAACGTCGTGCGCTTAGATGCACAAAAAGACATTGGTTTGGAGGTACGTCAGCCCTAAAGAAGATAAATGGTCAGCGTCAAGCGTTATGTATCTGACGGTATCGCGGCAACTGGACTAGCGTTGCCCAGGCGGTTCTCGACCGCCTATTCCCCACGCGAGCAGAGACGATGGGAGAAAGGTTGTAAGATGGTCCGAGGCTATGCTAATCCGGTCGACCGTCTTTCTGGTGCCATCTAGGCACCTGCTTTCTTCTTGGGAAACTGGCCGCTCTCTGAATGGTTCTGTGCGATCAATGATCCGTCCACATCAGGCAAGTGTGGCTGTAAAGCCAGCCGTCCAAGGTTCAAGGACCAGAAGGGGCTGGATGATTTCTCACATCAACCAGTTCACACCTGAACATCAAAGTCCTTGGCTTATGATTCTATTCGGTGAGCAGTTCAGAATC